AGCGGCTTATGCCAACCTGGGCCATCTTTGGTGCCTTCGTGATGTCAGTCTGGCTGTAAAAAGTCGGATCCACAACGCGTTGGTGAGAGCAGGTTTGCTCTATGCTCGTGAAACCTGGCCTCTCCGAGTTTGGGATGTTAGATCCTGGTAGCCATCCTGCTGTAATCCTCTTTTACTTTCCTCATAAAAGTGAGTAACTAATTTAACTGTGAGATTTCTTCCTGGTCTTAATTTCGCCAATTGAAATGCTTCTCCAGCTGTTAATATTTTTATTATTCAATTTCGAAACATTAATTTCTTTTGCCGTCGTTCCCTTTTTTACCATATACACTCTCTATTCTCTCTTCACAACACCATCGTTGCCAAGAAGCGCATATGTATTTGGCACCCGTTTGTATCACTGTTAATGTGTTCAGATAAATAAATAAATAGGTATCAGCAGAAGGGCTTTATTCCATAATTTCGAATGGGTTTGGCATTGGGTAGATTGTTGTCAATAAAAATTGTATGTTTGTAATATCCCAATATGTAGAAGAACTGAATTTTTTAATTTTCAGGGGTTTCGTGACTTTTTGAAAATCGAACAAACTAAATTAACTCAAGTGTAAAGGAAAAAAAGCAAGAACATTTACTGTGATCATTCAAAAAACAAGTCTAATCAAGACACCGTTATGTTATTTCGGTTAGGGTGATTTATATACGGTATCTTTGCATATTTCTGTGCGTATATTGAGTGATGAAAAATGTGACACTTGTGATGTGAAATGATAGAAATGAATTTTTATTTCTGATAACGGTGCAATGCATGAATAGAATGAGACATGGCCCGGGTAGATGATCTAAAGCCTGAGGATAATAATGCCTTCTTTTCTATTGAGCGCAGTTGTTAAAAATGGCATTTAATTTTGAATCCTTCCAGTACTAAAGGATTAGTAGACGGTTTCTTTGTGTACCTGAGATTTTCTTTGGCTCACGTCGCGATTTTACGGCATGACTCTAATATGGGAAGCATCACGATCGACACAATTTTGTATTGACGTACGGAGGATTTTCTCCTTTATACAAACACAAGCATTTCGAAGGGCGTTAGCCGTTTTGTAATGTGCTTTAATTCTGTATTGTTTTGAGACACTTTGGAGTTCTTCTGTTGTACCATGGCGGTACAGTAAAACTACAGTACCAATCTATGGTATTTTATTTGAATTATTATTTTATTGATAATCCTCATAGGAAAATTAATTAATTGTGAGATGTTAATCGTACGCTTCTGTTCCTTTTTCATTCTCTTCTGGTTAAGTTACTAAGTCATACAAAACCATGCAACCCGTTAACTCCTGGACAACATGCGTGTCGAAACAAACATTCATGCCCAACCAAATTACTTACTGCGGAAGAGGACTGAGCAGCAGCCCTAGATAACGGTCTGTCTGTCGATGTGATATTTTATAAGGTCTCTCACTTGGGCATTGTGGATAGGCCCTCGATCTTTGGATTAGCAGGTGCTGTACAGGAATTAATAAAATGCTTTTCGTGTGACCGAAACAGAGGGTGAGGGTGAACGGCACATTATCTGAACGGAAATCGGTCAAAGTGACATACCTCGTGGCGCTGTCTTAGACCTTCTACTGTTTCCTCTCTACGTCGATGTCTTAACACGATTGCTTCAGTCGATGGCATTATTGTTTGCGAATGATGTCAATATCTGTAGAATAATAAGTGAGGTTAATCATTTCGATCTTCAAGCTAACCTGGACGAATTAGTCAGATGATCGAACGTTGGCGCTTGTAAATGAATTCTAGAAAGACTGTGGTACTGCACACTGGGGATGGTAACAGTTGCCAGGATACTATCGATGGTACATCTCTTCATCTTTACCTGCATGAACATCAATAAGCAGTCAAGCGCTATGACATTTCCTCGCTCTTATCAATACACGTGGACAACTGCGGACACTCACTTGACTAGAAAAACTGGAAATCTGGGATAGAGGAAACTCCAAAAACACCAGAGAATTTTCAAAAGCTTGACACTCAGGTCAATCAGAAATCAACAAGCACATTGAAATCAATTCAATTTGTCAACCAACCAGAAAAGTTATGCCCAAACATACGAACAAAAATCAAACCAGTGGGAGACACAACCAAAACAAAGAAGTAAACAATGACAAGCTTAAGTTCAATAAGAACCACATGTGGAGGAATTCGAGCGCTTCACTTCTATCTGAAGTTTGTGCTGATGATGTCATTCACACGAACGATGAAAGCTACACGACCAAACCATCCAGCTCAGAGAACAAAACTCAATAATAAATGGTACATCTCTTTCACGTGTGCAGGAACACAGAGACTTAGGGGTAGTAGTAAGTCACGAGTTGAAAGCAACTACGCATTGCAACGCAGCGTCTACAAAGGTTTTCGTGCCTTATGGTTACTTCATCGGGCATTCAAGTGCTTTGACGAGATGGTTGGAATTTTATGTACCACACCTGGAGTACTTTATCGAAACGGCTGGTCCGTGTCCAATTAAGAATACTAATTTACTTGAGCGTGTTCAGTGTGAGGTAACAAAATCAATGAAAGGTCTTTCCAAACCTCCTTAAGACAAGTGCTTAAAAAGCCCGAATTCTTCCCCTCATCGTACCTTAGCACGCGAGGTGACCTCATATTGACATTTCGTATCTTTAGTTACGATTTCGGTGTTAGCATATCTCATCTTTTCTCTCCTTCCAGAACTAATAATCTTCGAGGCCATAGCAAGAAGGCTCAAAAACCTCAGTCTAATAAACTGAGATAGGGGTCCCGTTTTTCCCATTGATTGGCTAATGACTTCAACGCTTCATCTAAGCAAGCGGTACCAACCCCATCAGTGAACATTTTCAAGGAAAAACTGAGACCTCACTGGAAAACTATTTGTAAGAATCAACACAGGTCCACTAACCTACTATTCTTATTACTTAAGACTGAAGATGGAATAATCTTGTTTGCTCTTCTACAGAGATTTATGGTAAGAGAGATTTTTACATTGAGTGGATGTGCTGAACTGAAGTCGATATGACGATTTGATTGTGTTGGGTATCGGTTAATAATTAAATAAATAATAAGTACGTGGCAGCGTGCTCATCCATTCATATCGTTATTTGCTACAAGCCACCAAAATTGCTGTTCAAAGAGCTTGAAGGTTAGATGAGAACCAGAAAGTGACAATATGCGCAAGTTATTGAAGAGGTTAGTGGTACTTCTAAGTTTTTGCTCGCTTCCGTTATTGAAGTACGGTATATCGATCTATTTGCAACTTACGAACCCAAACTAACAATAGAACCATTCTCTAATTTAGGCACCATAGTTTATGATTGAGAATAGGTCAATCAATCTGTGATATAGATTCTCTTCCTACGCCCACCACTCAGACTCATGTTTACAATTTTATGCTGGATTAGCTATCCTACTAAGACAACCTATGACATGCTTACTCGGACTTTTACACTAGGATTGTGTGGCTGACATCGGATGGACAAAAAAAGAATAAAATAGGCAATAAAAGATATAGTCATTAGTATTCTTAACGCATCACCCTCTATATGCACACTTCCTTATAATAAACCGCTTTCCTTGTACCAACCTTGACTTCTCTTCCTTCATGTGAGTTTACTCCAACTTGTTAAACATCACAACTCATCGTTCTTTATTACTACATTCTCTTATATGGAGCCTCTGACTTCATTTCACTCTAACAAGAGATAATATGAATTTAATCTAACTTATCATACTATTTATTGGGGAACAACAAATGATAATCAAATCAAAACAAATATTACACAACCAGATAGATAAATGACGTTACCAAAAAATAGACTACTACACCAAATTTTCAGTGACGTCAATTCAGTTTTGTTGCGTATTTGCTTTGTTGCTGTTCAACCACATTGAAATAATGTGAGCTTAACAAACGGACTTTGTAGGACCGAAAAAGTTCAGCTGTTCCAATAAACAAACCATTCTAACACATAGGGATCACCCAGTCAGAAGTTACAAGGTCCTTTAATATTTTGTGAGGATGAACCAATAATTATTCAAACCATTATCCTAGTGACATTGAGTACAGTCTTCATTGTCGTATTACTTACTTACTAAATTACGCCTGTTACTCATCGTGAAGGAGCATAGGCCGCTCACCAGCTTTCTCCATCAATCCTGTGTTCGGCAATCCTTTTCAGGTCCTCCAACTTGTTATCCACTTCCCTTCAAGATACTAAGTTAAAGCTTGCCTCGCAATGCAGTTGGATGAGCGGATTAATGTATATCCCAATTAGGATATATACATTTCTCCGAATTTCCATTCCAGCTAGAAGCTGGTTTGTATATCCCACAAAAAGGCTACCGCTGATGGTAGGAATGAAATGCATTTAATCATCTCCTTTGAATTTATTTCAATTTTCATTTCTGTTTTTCAACTTCACTTATTTACACTTCATGGAAATGAGTGGTTTCATATAGATAATAGTAAATTGCAATAGTAAGAGATAATACTACTCACGTACTTATTCACTTACTCAATTAATTATTTTCTCAATTACGCTTTCACCTTCTTGTGGCTACCACCGACAATCGAGCATCGGTGATCGACCACAATTCTCCAATCCACTCAGTCCTCATTCTTTATTTTCGACATCCAACACACAATTACTTGAACTTGCGATCACCTCGTCGGACATGCAACATCATCAACGTTCGACTGGTTGTCTGAAACAAATAAAATTAGCAAATCAATGACAAAATAAACATCATCATATTCAGCAACAGCATCAACAATGCTATCAATAAAATCAATTCAATTCAACTCAACAACATGAACAAGACTATCTAGTTTATAACATTGCTAGGGACGAAAGATCCCCAAAACTCATATTTTGCAATTTCATCTTATCGATGATGTTATCGATTAAATGTTTAAATATTTGCATCGGGGTCAATTGATGAACTATCGATTAAATATGCAAATAGGTCAATTGATGAACTATCGATTAAATGTGCAAATAGGTCAATTGATGAACGATCGATTAAATGTTAAATAGCGGTCAATTAATGAACTCATTGATTAATGTTTAAAAATTTTCTATGACAATATCGATTGTAAATATTTGTATAAATCCGCTTGATTTGTGTGTTTGAATTGACTTGTTATCTGCTGTTTGTCTGTAGAATACAGTTTCTGCAACTTATCCAGATTTCTTGATCGAGTTAGCAGAGTTGGGGACAACGAACCAGAATAGCTATCGAGTCGCTGAATCATTGATCCTTCGTTCACTTCGAGTAAGACGAATCAGTAATAGCATTCAAGCAATAACTAACCATAACAAATTGTTGACGGTGGTTTTTCGATTATGGACCCTGCCAAACTTGAACTGTTACTTGAGCAGCAGCTGAAATTGATGCAAATGTTGATGGAGACCAAGGTTACGCCTCCCTTACGGTCAAGCACGTCTAGTTCAACCACGGCACCATCGGTAGATAGCATCGCAAACAGCATAGCTGGATTTCATTACGATCCTGATTCTAATGTTACATTTGAGATGTGGTTCAGGCGTTATGAAGATCTATTTAAATTTGATTTCGCCAATCAAGATGATGCTTGGAAAGTGCGGTTGCTACTACGTAAACTGGGTGCAAATGAGCTGGACAAGTATTGCAATCTGATCCTGCCGTTGAACCCACGTGAACGATCATTTGCAGACACAGTTCAAATATTAAGCCATTATTTTGGCGATAACTCGTCACTGTTTAATACTCGTTATCGTTGCTTTGAAGCTAACTATGAACGAAGATGATGATTTTCTTACACATGTGGGCGTCGTCAACCGTGAATGCGAACGCTTCCGGTTAAAGTCCTTGACTGAAGATCAGTTTAAAGCCCTGATAGTTATTTGCAGCCTGCAGCACCAAAAGTTTAGTGACTTACGAACAAGACTACTAAGTCTTTTGGATCAAGAGCCGAAACTCACCCTGAGTGATGTAGCTAATGAATATCAACGTCTCATTAATCTGCAACGAGACACTTCTATGGTTCAGAATGGTGGGCCTAGCCGATCTGAAGTACGAGCGGTGCAACAGACACTTTACAAAAACAAATACGTCCCCGCTTCATCCAGTCCATCCCACTCCAGCCCGAGACGACAGACTAAAGCAACTCCTCCTGCTCCTTGCTGGCAATGTGGTGCATGGCACTACGTTCGAAACTGCCCATTAAGCAACATCGATGCAAGAAGTGTAAGGTTATCGGTCATAAGGATGGGTTTTGTCTGAGGTAGAAGACTCCAAGTCAATCCAGAAATACCAAAAAGACCCTTCCTAGATCCCGCACCAATTCATTGAGCTTAGTATCTTCGTGTCAAAGCTCATCACCAGGTCAGAGAAAATTTATTACTGTTAACATTAATGGGCATTCATCTAGATTGCAAATAGATACAGCATCAGATGTCACTATCCTCTCTCGTAAGACTTGGACCAAAATGGGCAGCCCAAACTTGCAGCGCACAACGCAAAAGCCTCGTACTGCGTGTGGTAATTACCTTCACCTGCTAGGACAAATGGAATGTACAGTTACTTTCCGTGATTTGGCATTTGTTGGGGTATGCTACATAACGCCAGCTGATCTAAATTTGCTCG